CTTTTTTTTGGAGGGGGGGGGGACGCCATCCTGCTCTGGGTACGTCCTTTATTCCACCCCTTCTTTGTTAACCCTTTAGAACTTTTATCTGATCCCTCCTGTTAACCAGTAGGAACTTTACTCCGACCCCATGCTATTGACTCTTTAGGACTCCTTGACTTAGCTCCGTCCCCTCTTGGTGACCTTTCAGTAGGACTTATTGACATACAGACTTCAACATAAGTTAAGGACCACTTGCAAACACTCTGAGTGGTCTTCTTGGGTCGACCTGCACGAGGGCATTCTTTGACTGATCCAGTGGCTTGATGGCGCTGCCTCAGGCGGACAATGACAGAGTGTGGCACTGCAAACCTTCTGGCTACTTCTCGGGCTCCAACTCCATCCGGCAGCCATGTCATATCTCTGGCACGATCAAAGACCCTCAGCTTTCGTCTTGGTGGAATGTTGATGCGATACTGGATTTTGCGCAAACGGCGGCTTATATTGCTACCAAAGTGTGCACAGTTCGAGATCATACGTCTGTTTATCACGTGCATCAGAAATTTTAACTGATGAGGAATGTCCGTCGTGTCGCACTCAATAAATCGATAAAAAACAGCAAATTTGGCTAAAATTCCCCAAAACTTTCCGTGCTGCACGTGTTGGTTTTGGCCCTTTAAGACGCTTTGCAGTGTTCATTGGTAACCCATTAACACTTTTAGAGCAAAATATTTTGAAACATTCCATGCTGGGTTTTTTTTTTCGGATAAAAAAAAAAATCAGGGCTGTCTGTCAAGGCGGTCCTTAACTTAAATGTTGAAGTCTGTAGCTCCTTCTCCTCATTGTTGGTCATTTAAGAACTTAACGTTTAGCTTTAGTCCGACCCCTCGTTGTTGACCCTCAGGACTCATGTCTTGACTTACAAGACTTCTTCTTTTGTCTTTCTAGCTGTCCATGGGGTGCGCAGCATATGCGTCTTATGAGCCACAACTCTGTCGCCTCAAATGTTCTTTCCAGCTGTCTATTGATTGTCCATGCACACAC